TGAAAAATTTACAAACCGACATGGGAAAGGAATTTTACAACGTAATCGTACAGAAACTCTTGAAAAAACATGATATCAATCATTACCCTACGTATTCCGTAATGAAGGCGTCGGTGGTCGAACGATTTAACCGAACGTTGAAGAACAACATGTGGAAACAGTTTACGCTCAACAGAAATTATAAATGGATCGACTTGTTACCGCGTCTCGCGTCAGAGTACAACGCACGAAAGCATCGAACTATTGGTATGCGGCCTATCGATGTTACCCCCACGATCGCCGACAAGCTCTTAACCACGGTGTACAACAATTACGTAAAGATCGCAGCACCAGCGCGATTCAAAGTGGGTGAGTCGGTACGCGTCAGTAAATTCAAAACAACTTTTGAGAAAGGTTATACGCCAAATTGGACTACGGAGGTGTTTATAATCATCAAGGTGTAGAAAACTAATCCTGTGACGTATCTATTGGAAGATTATCGTGGAAAACCAGTTGCCGGAGGATTTTACGAGTACGAGTTGCATCGCGTTGCTAATCTCAACGTGTATCTAGTTGCAAAAGTGTTGCGTAAAAGGGGAGATGATGTTTATGTAAAATGGCTGGGATTTGATATTTCACATAATTCTTGGATATACAAGGATAATGTTTTGTAAAATAATTTACACTCCTGTTTATTACTATATAAAAAAACATATTTTTTATTACAATAAAACTTATTTGATTACAAAATACACACAAAATATATATGTTTTGTGCAAATGAGTTTTTATTTATTTATTTATTTATTTATAAAGGTATCTTATAATGTCCCCATGGCAGTGTAGAATGATCTACAGAATCGGGTATAATGTATCGCTTATCATCGTACGGACTTAGAGCAATTTTCTTTTCGAATATAGTATACACTTCGTGCAGCTTGGATCTTATGCAAAACTGTTTTCGCGTCATTTCGGTTTCGTCCAGCAGACATTGCATGTAATCATCGAATGTTATCGTCTTTGCTACGACGTTGCTCTTAACACCTTTAACCTTTTTTGTATCTTTTTTACCATCTACACGCAAAGCATACATTTTTGCTCTAAGTCCGACGAATTTGATCATGATCGCGCCATTGTTTTCATCCTTCATTAATCCTGGAACCTTTTTATTGGCGAGCGGAATGCCATACACATTATCGACCGCATAATCGCTAGTATCAAATATATTGATGTCACGCTTCATAATTTCGTATATATCGTCGCATTCGAGATGGTATATGAGACTGTCCGTATTTGTATATATGACTTTACATTTTTCATGAAACGAAGGTAACATATGGTGGAGGTAACTCATGGTGAAATTCATACAAACATGTCTTGGATATGTCGAGGATAGACATACTTACGTAAATAGGTTTATTGATCATTACTTCGAGTTTACGCATTTCTATCGCAACAAGATTCTCCGAAAAGACGCTTCGGCTATGAAAATTCGACTTCGCGATCATTGCCTCCGCACCGTATCTACCTTTCCATTTTGTTAATAGTCGCACATCGACATGATTGCGCACATTCTCCATGGTTTTACCAAAATGTTTCTGACTGCAGGAGGGGTTACTAAGCTCCACAAAATTCACCAATAACAGCTTCTTTATTCCACTAACTAAACAGGACGAATTATACACGACGTTGATACAATATTTCACTCCTTTCCCCTTGGCGTTGCGTAGTCCGTTCCCTTCGCTGAGGGGACTTTTCGAGAGGGTAGCTCGCGGGCCAGAGGCCTTCGATTCGCTGGATTTAATTGCGCGTTCGCGGAAATCGCTTGCAAGTGCAATTTCGGGAGGCGACTTGACACGGTTAGCGCGGCGACTTCACGACTTTGATCGCGTGAATAGCTATCGCGATTGCTTTTAACGAGGCGCAACGACAAGGGTAAACTGGTTCGCGTCCAGATCACGAGTGGCCGGCAGCAAGCCTACTCTCCCTTCTCGGCGGGAAGACGGCTCGATTCCGCGCCGTCACGTCCGGTCAAAAAAACAACGTCCAGCAATGGCACGAACCCTCCACGTGCACCTCACCTTCTCTAGGCGTGACAATTGGCGCGCCGGCCATCACACGCGCTCCTCGTGATTGCAGGAAGCGTTCATTGGCGCCGCGCTCCGTTTAAAGTTCGAATTCTTGCGTCGAATCCGAACAACCAAATACCGCGTTATTCATTAATTTGTATAAATTTTTCTCGAATTCGTTAATAACTAGTGTTCTAAATTTTGTATTTAGTTCAATATATTCACGAAGCCATGGAGATTGCGCAAATTGCAATACGCGATGAATCTTTGAAATACGGAGGCCGTGACGAGTACATTGCTGCAAATTGCGATAATGAATAACGTATCGCTTTTTATTATATAAAGACGCGAGGAGTTTTTCTTGCCGCTTGCCGGGTGGTTTGTCGCGCGTCGGACAGAACGGTAAGTCAGCGTGCGCGTCGTGAAGGTGTTGTGGATAGTCTAGATCGACTTCGAGAATGTAGCCTATCGCAGAATCTAACACGATATTCATAACATTAAAATTGGTTACGTCGTTAACCCATTGAAAATCTGCATACGGCAATGGTTGACACATTGCCCAGCCATACAGATTATTTACATCGAAGTACATCAAGTACGACGACGGTTTCGATGGACCATATGACTGTATGTACTTGTTGTTAGCCCGCGCGTATCTCTTGGAACTTGACTCAGGCCGCCGCGTATGCCGCGTTCGACAAACATGACCATGTCAATGTCCGTGAGAAGTTCGAATTTAATACGTATATTTCAGCATGGCGTCTCACGTAAAACCGGGTAGAGTAAAATAATGCGCGGGATCGAATCCATAACTCGCGACGCAGCTATCGCGAAAATTTTCAAATATATCGGCTAATAACAAGACGTCAGTTTTTAAGTACAGATCGCTGTACTCGCCGAGCGTTCGAATGGAGAATCGCTCCCACACGTTGACAGCATGCGCGTAATCGTTCTTGGATACAGTATCGCCCGTTAACGAACTATAAAACGATTTGCGCGGCGATAAATGCGTATCCTCCAACTTTTCAAAGCAGTCAATGTACTCGTACGGAAACACACCTTTTCGCGTCAGTAGATCGAAATGCTCAGCCGATAAATTACAAAATTCGCGTTGCATTATCTGTAGTTTATCTTTCGCGAGATAAGATGCCAATTTTTCGAGACTCGAACGAGAAATTTGTATGAGTCAATGAATCGTAATTGTACGCAAATTTCACGATTATTTTTTCTTTCTGTAGTACTTTTAACATGCTGGTAAATGAAATGTATTTCTCTTTTGTTACCGGAAGTAAATCTATGTCTCCATCGTATGCGGTAGCTATTTCTTTGATAATGAAATGCGCGTCATACCCGGATCAATAGTGGAAAACTACGGGAATGCAATGTGAATCTTTGTAGTTTAAATTACAGTTGGAATACGCGGGACCTCTGAATCGACCAGTTCGATGATAGTGTATGATGATAGTAGATCTACATCGCGTACCCGTCTGTCGTCAGATGCGAACGGTTTCTCGCATATGTGACAATTCGCTGCGCTGTTAAATTTATCGCGTTCGTCGCGCGTCAATTCCGCCATCGGAACGTTACCGGACAGAGCGGACTTTACTCTGTGCGCTAAATCTTTAAGTTCTTCGACGAACCACGCTATGCAATCCTTATCGCGCCGAAATACGCTGACAACGAGTTGTCGTACGAACAATGAACGTAATAAGCTATAATAAATACCCGACGATGCTGGTACTCGTAGCTCGTTGTTTCCTCGTTGTCCGTCTTCTCCAGGATGCACTCAAGGTCCGCGTACACGACGAATGGCATTCGCTCCTTCCAGTTGGTATTGTTAAAACGGAGCCACTTGTCGTCGCTCGGTAGCCTGATTGCGCAGTTGTTCATCTCACGGCAGTCCATTACGTGAGCCTCCAGTTTTTTGTCCAATGAAAAATAATGTAAACATCTATAAAAAGATATATAATTTATTATTTAAAAAAGAAAGTATTTTATAACTTTATTTAATGTATACATACCTATCGCAAAAGAATTTTGTATGTCCCTTCTTGCTCAGTTGTAAGCTGACGAGGCGGGATAAATTTTTTATCCATGCAAAATGTCCCTCGTTGCTGTTTTCGTCCTCTACGTATAGCAAATTAACATGTTTGTCCATTTTTTGATTCGTGAGCCGTATTGGAAGGATCGTATGTTGTTCGTTTTTTGTCTCGATGGCATAGACGTTGATGGAGATAGCGTTTTCAAACTTTTTAATTTGATTTAGTGTCATTGGTAAATCAATGTCTTTCAAATTTAATATTGTAGAGTAATGAGGATAGGAGGCTATCCGTTCTGTATGATTTTTAGCAGGGTGTAAAGCGGCCACCACTGACCATGCGAAGCACGCATTGTCCCTGGACCGCACGGTTACGACCGCTCTCTTCACCATAATTTTTTGCGGTAACTCAATATGGCATCCCGCGTGCAAAGGATTGTATTTGTTCGCATTAACTGTCAAATTCAGTATTCGTGACAATGCCCACCCGCTGCCTTGATCCTTAAATTCTCCCAGCAGCGCTGCCGTAGGCTCGACAACGCACTATTCATACACTCGTGTAAATCTGTGCTACGAAAGAGTTCACAGTTTTTCGTGGTAACACTTTGTTGTGCCGCTGGCACAACGGGGTCCGGCTCCGCGGGGGAACTGAATATCTCAAACGCCTTTGATCACTTTTTCAAAAATACACTTTATTTGCCCTTAGATCCGGTCTCAGTTTATTTCACAATCCCCGCTTCTTCTTACTCGATACTCGCCGATACAGCACTTAACTATTCGTGGCGGACTTGGTAACGTGACACGAACTTATCTTTCGATAGATTAACCACGCGCGCCTTGTCGTCGCGCGTACTTATAGCGATCGCGTTGCCGTTTCAGCGTACTACTTTTCGGTTGCCGCGAGGTCGCCGTCGCGCAACCATCCTTATTAGTTATTTTTATTTTTACATAATATATCTTTTCGGAACGCTTCGTCAGCGTTCCCGATTTAATTTAGGTCGTGCCGTATTTCTTAACAATTGTCGCATCCGTGTCACGGTAATCGGCCCGTGACACTCTTCCCTCCCAAAGAAAAGGAAATGAGGGGTGCATTTTCTTTATTTTATGCTTTTTTACAGTCATTTCTTATTATCTACTTGTTTGTTCTATCTATCTGGTCTATTTGTTTAGTACAGCATCGCGTCATTGTTCGAGTATGGGTCCTCGCGGGTACCCCTTGTTGCTTTTTTCTTGCATTTTTTATGTATGTAGATGATTACGCATATTACGCTTATAATTACTACAGTGGTTGCGCCGCCGCTCGCGTACCTATTCATGACTATCGTATCCTGGTTCTCTAATTGTCTATTTATTTCGTCTGGCTCTGCTCTTAATTTTTCGAGCTCGGGTTTTTTACAATTGTTTTTAATCGTGGCCGTTCCCGGTGTGTAAGATGTTCGTCGGGGTGCTCGAGGGTCAAATTAAATTCGGGTAAGTGCGCCTATATACTCGCGGCGCACATTTGTTGTTGCGTCGTTAGCGTGACATCGGGCGTCGTTAGTTTACAATTTCCTTCCAACGTTATTTTCCCGGTCCCGCGTATTACAATTCCCCGTTCCGCTTGATTGCTACATTTTATATTTATTTTTTGTGCTTTTGGCGTTGCGTATAGCCACGTTTGCGATTCGGTTAGTGTTATCCACAGCGTGGTGTTCGCTAACACGCGTTTTCGTTCACAATTTCGGAGTTGCTCTGGCAAATTGGTAACACTTGCACCTCGCACGGTGCGTCTGCTCTGATATTGTACACGGGTAGGTTTCGCTCATATGTAAACGTCGATTCCTCCCGGACACATTTCGCTAGTTCCTTTTCACACGGCAGCATGTAGTGATGATTTTCTTTGTCAATTGCCATCAGGGGCTGGTTTACTTTTAGGAATGTAAATACATTATCATGCTCCGGTGTGGGAAAAGGAATTACTTTTATGACGGGTAAGCGATGACGGGAAACTTGAGTATGGTATATATATTTGGGTCTGTGTAGTACGCGTTTACCCTCATGTATTTCTGAATGGACTGCCAGTTTTCTAGTTGTATCCTAAACGGAAAATGTAAACCCTTGGTTAATTGTGTCGCGGCTTCTCGTATTCTCCGCTATAATTGTTTCTAATCGCAATAGGCGGGTCATAATCAGCCCGTCGTGCGCGTATGTGAGGTAATCGGTAATGTTTTCTACATCCTTTACCAGATCGGCATAATTGCCATCAGGACGAGTAGCTGTTCGTCCATGTCTTCCTGTAGTGTAAATTTGGCTAGTTGTAACTCCATCTTACGACTAACATTTAATAGTAAGTGCTCGTTATAGTTTACCGCCTGCTCTACCTCTGTTAGGTGCCCTAGTGTAGCGTTTATTACTTTGAGTTGGTTTTTAACCGCGTGCTGTAGCGTCTGTTGGTAATTTTGCGTTAACCTAATTTGTTCATCTATTAACTTCGCGTCGTCCACGTCCATTACTCCGAACAACGTTTTTCCTAACCACGCCTATGCCGTCGATTAATCCGCGCTTATTATTTATTGGCTTATATAATCCGTATAGGTGGTTTACTAATCCTGTCAACTGTTTTATTATCCTTCTAAATAATTCGTAGGATATTTTGGCACATTTGTTTTACGTTTTCCGATAATATATTTCCGCATCGGTCTTCGGTTCTCTTTAAGTGGTCCTGTACCTGTCGGAATCTTACACCAATCGCAGCGATATCTAATTTTATTGCCAGTCTCCACATCGATTCCGCTTGATTCAGCAGTCCTTCCTCCTCGTAGTAGATCCCCGGTGTGTGAATAAACTCTTCAAAGCGGTATGGGGGGTGTGTTGGTACCGGTGTCGTTTTTACCTGGTACCACGTTGCGAGTAACCTGCGAAGTAAGGATTACTATTCTTTGAATCCTTGCCTTACATTTCGTTACGCCATCGCTAATCTTTTTACGAGTTCTTAGTGCGCTCCGAGTTTCCGTCGGATACGCTTGTATAGAGTCCTCGTGGCATTCGTTTGCCAAATCATGAGGTGCCTGTGTTGCAATTTGTATTTCGCGCCTAGTGTGTGCGACTCGTGCTTACGCACGTATTGGTTGAACGCTGCCCGTCGCACGCCTCGTACTCCCCCCGACACTCCGCCACCTAGGCGATCGGTTACGGACCGGCGGTCCCTTACGGAGCGGATTAACGCGGCGATCACGACTCGATCCTAGCCCAGACCGGAGGCTTCGTGTGACCCTGTACGTGCGGACAGGTCAGCGTACGGTGGTGGAGCTTCCCCCACCTTACTCTTTGTTTTAAGGTAAGTGTTTTCTCTATTTATTAACGCTTTCTTATTTCTATCGCTATCTGTTAATTCCCCCCCCCCTCTTTTTTCCACTTTTGCTTTTGCTCTATGGCTAATTCTCTACAAAATGTTTAAGGCGATTCGCGTGTACGCGTAGGGTTCTCCGTCCCCTTTTTATTGTGAAATTTACTTCGTTATGTTTCTCCACTATCGTGTAAGGTCCTGCCCATTGGGATTCTAATTTCTTTGAGCGTCCCCTTCTCAAGGCCTCGTTGTAAAGCAGGACTTTGTCCCTATCTCGAAGA